AAGAATTTAAAACTTGGTATGGGTCTTTGTCCTTCAATAAATATAATATCCCATGAAGGCGAGTAAAAGATAATAGCACAGAGCTTGGCTGTAGCCTTGTTCTGTCTCCAGTCTTAATTGCTTGTTTGTGTTGTTTATTTTAGGCTCTCATGAAAACAAAATTGTGTAGTGTGAATGTATGTGACATTTTTGGGGGCCACCTGTCTGAACATGTTGAAGTCCAGATCTGCAGTCTCCCATCTGGAACAGTACATTCCCACGCATCTTTATTAGCTAATTCGTGGTGTTTGTGACATTTTATTTGAGCTGCGAATGCAAATTTGATAAACACATCCCTTAAAAGTCACCTCGCAAAGCAGTCACCTTGTGCGTGCTGTTCAAATGTGATATGAAGAACTGAAATATATGTTAATTTCCCCTTGATGTGAGAGTGGATTTTGATTGTGTTCGTAATGTTTGGGTTTCTTTAGTGATGGCCAGTAGAGATCACTTTGTGCTATAAAAACCACTAAGCTTCCTGCTACACTAATCAGGTTTATTAAACCAAATCAGGCATTCAGTGATGGGTTTGTGGCTCTTTGTCTCCCACTTTTGCCACCTTCACTGTATACTTTAAGGGATGATGAATTCCAGAGCTTCTGTTTTTCTGGTGCAGCAAAAAAACATACTTTTTTAAAATAATTTGTTTACCAGTTGTCTTAGAACCTGTCTGCATGACGTTTTATATTGGTGTTAGACTCCAGAGTATTTTAATTCTTTATTCTTCAAATAATTTATCCAAATCCTGACTTGCTAAACATCTGATTCCTGAACTGAGTACAATAATCCGATCTATTAGGTTTCTGATAACTTCATTAGCCTGAAGTTTTAAGGTATTGGCTCTCACCAGCTGATCCTAGGTGTTTTCGCCTGTGTTGGCGCACAATTGGCTGAATGCTGTAAGGCTTCACTAGGGTCAAATCAGTGGGAAATCCTTACTTATCATGCACAACGACTCCCACCCCCACTACTGTTGTGGTGAGAATGGTGTATATCATGAGGCTGGCACTTTACACTGCTGTGAGTAGTGCCTACAGTACACGTACATCCTTATGCACTTTTAATGGGTTGGGGTTCTGTTTGTAAAGGAAAGCCACACCATGTTAAATTGAACAGCAGTTCCCCAAATCTAAAGCTTCAGTACCCTCTGTATAAAAAGATTGAGTCTTTTGTGGTTCTGAATTAAAAAAAAATGGGTTTCTTTTTTAAGTGGAATTTTATATTTTCAGAATGTTGCTTGTGAACACCAAGTTCTCTGGGTTATAAAGTTGGGTTTTTAGGAGTTTTAAATTAAGCAAAATGTAAAATTTGTTGCGTCACGTCAGGACTAAATGAAAATCTTAATTTCTCAGGGGGAAAGGGCCGCTGAAGAACACGTCTGATGTGATTAGCGCGGCCAAGAAGATTGCAGAAGCTGGGTCAAGAATGGACAAGCTGGGCCGTACCATTGCCGACCACGTGAGTTCCCCGACTGCAAACATTTTATAACCCTGTAGTTCCTGTAGTTTTATAACCTCCGGAGGGTTTACATCTAGACTTTGTTACACCTCTGTTTTTCAGTGGTCAAGGAAAGCCGTTAAATTTCCTGTATTTGTCTCCTCAAAGTCACAGTGCTGTCAGTGCTTGCTGAATAGTATTCTGGAATTTAGGTCTGGATTTGCACTTTAATATTGCTGTGTTCTAAATGCAGTTTTGGCAACCAAAAATTTACCAAAATGTAATGTTCACTAGCATTTTAGCTACGGAGATTGTTTTGGTTATAGATTCTATTTCACTCACTTATTTCCACTACTTTTGCTTTGATAAACCTGTGAACAGCTTGTCAAAGAAAATAAAATACCAGCCTCGCAAAGTACTTCCCAGATTGCAATCCTAAATGCAGGCTTTAATTACCATTTCTTCCCAAAGAAACACATAGGAACCACTTTTATTAACAGCTGTAGTTTAGAGTTAATGTAAGAAAATCATGCCTTGTGGATTTAAGAAACCTTTTTGAAATTAATAAAATTACATAATGGATAACTGTAAGCAAGCAATTTTTACAGATCAGCTCTTCTAGAATCATTCTTTAATGGGGGGATGTTTTCAGTACAAGCACATGCAAGGTTGTGACAAGTGTTTAGAATTAGGAGGGGAGGTTTGGGCCTCGGCTGAGGTATTCTGAAAAGTTCCACAATACTGCAGGTTGTCATTACAGGCACTATCCTGTGTTTTTGTTTTTCCAGTATGGTAAACAGGACTCTGGCCTATTTCAAACACTGTATGCAGTGTTTTTCTATAATAAAAAGCTCTGGAAATATTTGAGGTTACAGAGGTATTAAAGATGTCAATTTTCTGCCGATATTACAGAATGCTGTACACAAAAGCCGGGGGCCACATGGGAAGTATTTTAGCCCACTGTGTCAAATGCAGCATCATACCGATCTGTATTCATCACCATTCTGTGTACGGTACTCCTACTGAACAAATTGATACTTCAAATACGACAAGCACTATCTATGCCCTGAAACCTTGTTGCTGAATTGCTCTGATACATCTTTACTCAAGTTTTCCTTCTGTCCTTTTCTAGAAAATATTCATTGTTTTGATTTCCTGCATTGAGTTTGATTGGATTTAAGCAAGGGGTTTAGTGGGGGTGGAGATCGTCATGCCACAGTTTCATCTCTTTACACTTAGAAGCTGCTTACACACTGTAATAAATCCAATGGTATCCCCTAAAGATAACAGATGGGCAGTGTACAGGTTTGTGTGTGCGTGTGCGTTTGGGGTGGGGGTTGGCGATATTTCTAAATAAATTTACTTGGCCGAAGGAAGAGATGGACGTGCCAGTGCTCAGAAACCATCCACATTTTAAACAGGTGCAATCACTCTCCAGAGCCAGCAAATCTGACACATGGATCAGAAATGTATTAATCGACAAAGGTTTTATTGAAAAGAGGGGGGGGAAATTATTAAATTAACATGATGAACATTCATCCTACATTGATTTCATTTTAGTTTACATCCAACAATGGTATTTTTGTTTAAACTACCTTTACATGCAGCATAAAGCTTTGGGTAGTATTCTTTTGCTACATTTCTATCTTAGAGGGAACATGATTATTTTTTTCTAATGCAAATAAAAGCCTCTAGGGTTTTAATTGTCATTAATTTCCACTGCTAAGGAGGATTAGCTTTTTTTCCAGAGATTTCCAAATATAAGAAAATAAAGCATTGACTGAGGATTTTTATTCCTTTCTTGGTTCAGCAAGCACAAGCATTCCACAGTCTGTACTTGAAAATAGTCAAGTTGCTTGTGATTGTTTAGCTTTACAGCGGACATTTGCAATGTATGCTACAATAAAAAGCACAAAGGTTTGGCATCAAACGTGTGTTGGACTGCAGGTCATTTTGTAGGCAATGTTTCACAGGTGTTTTACATATAGCAAAAGAATGATCTGTTGTAATGCTTTGGTCTTTAACTGTTCTTCTAAAATACTCATTAGTGCATCTAGCACCCATTAAGCTGTACATTAAAAGAGTTGTGGTTTGTTGTGTATTTGTCTTTTTATGTAAAGGAGAGTAAAATCAGTTAAGTGAGGGTAACAGAGCCCTATTAAAGTTTCAAGAAATGAGTAGACTGAAAGGATAGGAAGCTAGATTTAGGTCAGTGCTGTACAAAGGTCTGTTCTGCAGTTTATTAAGAATTTATGACGGACACTGGCTTATAAGAATTCTGTGTGAGCTCTGCAGTAAACAACTAATCATCTGTAAATGAGATTTAGGCTAAAATGTAATATGCATGTTAGCTCATACTCCAGAATTTAAGCTTGTATCAAAAAATGTTCAATGTGTTTCGTATGTTTAATCTGTTTAGTATTTAAAATTTGTATTTAAAAGGCTGTAAGTCTAGGCCAGGCCTTTTTTTATTACATAAGATTTGGACAAGATCAGCAATGCTGAACTGTGACATTTTAGTCACAGTTTGCTAGTTCTGTATCTGTACAAAATCACAAAAAGTAGCGTGATGTCTTTAGAATTGCTCAAGAATAGCTGGAGTGCTTTTTTAAAGTTCCGGTGTTATTATTGGCCAAGGTGTTACAATGTGATTCTCTCTTTCTATTCTGCTTCTCTGCTGTTGGAATGCTTGCAGTTTATACCTGGAAATTTTCTTAATTTGTAGGTATTGGTGTTTGTTTTTTTGTGGTTACCAATTTTACACTGATCAGGGAATATTCAATACCTTGGCAATGTCCCCCTATAATCTGTTATCACTATTAATATCCTGCTATTATTACTATTAACTCCCAATGGACACCTTTGCAAATTTGTTGAAGCAGATGCAGGTCCTTCCAGGAAGCATATGGATGAAATGTTCTGCTCATTAAGGTCCTACAACCAAATGAACAAGAATGGGATGAATTGACTTCAAGGATTTTTTTTATGGTGTTTGTCATCATGGTTTAAATTTAGAGTTTTTTCAGTTTAATGTCAGCTATGAATCATTTTTATCCTCTGTAAAATAAGACAATCTGTGCTTTCATTTCATTTAAACTGTACAGCTGTATTTGTGTGCTTTTCTGGAATTTAAAGTATGGAAAGATTAGAGGTTATCTGTTCTAGCACCATAAGAACCAGTTGTTGAAGATACCATGGTTTGTAATTTCATTTGTGTGCACTTAGATCATGATATTGTAAAAAAAAAAGTTGTCTACCTTTCCTTTGATTGATTGCCTATATTTCCTTCATCCTCTATTGAATTCTGAAGCCTGTATGGGGAACACTGCAAAGGGAATGGGAAATTTCATCCACTCTTCCCTATCATTTTATACATTTCTAAACAAATTAACCTTCTGTGATCTGCAGCTAAGGTGATGGTTAATGTGTTTTCCTCTAGAAATATGCTAGTAATAAATTAGCCACAAAATCCTTCATGTTGTATGTTCCAGAAGATGTTAATGGTAGCAAAAACATTTGGATTCAAGATACTCGGTCAGGTAGCACAGCAAGGCTTTTCACCATTTTTCTTTAATGCGGTCATCATTACAGGTTTAGTGGCCTGTGGGTAGCTTCAAGAATTTACTTGGCTTCTGTGGGAAAGAAGGTGTATATATGTAAACATTTACACTAGCTTTATTTTGCAAAATTATTCGGTTGCCAGGGAGATTTCAGTTTGTTTGGCTGTAGTCAAAAGCCTTTTCTAATTTAATGTCTTTCCAGGTTATATGGCATCCAAGGTTTTTTTTTTTTCCAGGGCTGACCAATTAATTTTGGTGCCTTACTGCCCTTGGCTTTTAAGTATTCTTTTAAAATTATTTTACATCGTGAATGTGTGAGCTGAGGCTGCTCCTGCTTACTCATCTGGGAATTAAGGTAATGCAGTATGTGGGGGGAAAAACACATTAATAATAAACGGGGGTGGGATGATGTGTTGGCTGGTTTAGTGTTTTTTATATATTTAGAATCGCCAATTATGCTTCTCGTGGCCTTGTGGTTTATGTGCTTATCACGTCTCAGCTCGCAGCAATGATCCCCACCGCAGTGTGCGGGAGAAGGACTCGTGTTCAAGCCACTTGTCTTTTACCACGTCACAGGCTGCACCGCTTCATGCGGGTGGTTCAGCGCTGGCTGGAGCAGAGGCTCGCCGAGAGCACTGCACGCCTGCAACTGCCCGGGAGGCCAAGGAAGTCGCAAAACCCAGAGCAGCCATTTCGTTTTATACATTGTTGAAATGGTTACTTCTCTGCGATATTTTCAAATACATTGCCACAGTTTCCGAATTCAGATGATTATGGCAGTAAAAACTGGAGTGTTTAGCTTTGATTAGGAGTTGAAAGCAGGTGGCCTCACCAGGTGTTTTAACTAAGGATTTCGTTGCCTTTTTTTTTTGGAGAGGACATCTGATTGGTGTTCTAGGTGAAGAACCCTCATTTAAATGGAGAAGGCATGCTACACCAACACCCCGTGAGGAGATTCATTAACCTTGAACGATATGTAAATCTTTCAGTATCTGCTGCCCAAGAATGTAGAATATGAACTGGGAGCAGGAGTAGTCTTGATATCTGAGTCTCCAGTGAACTTGACAGTTAGCTTAGTCCCACCTTAATAGTGTTTATCCTGCTTATACTTGTATGCTACATGCATCTTGTATATGAACGTCTACTACTGCCATTTACAGTAAATATGATCTTGGATATGAAGTTCAAAGGATATTGTGTGTAAGCATATCATCTTCTAAATGTCTGTACAGTACAGCAAGTGTATTCATGATTGTCACTATAAAACAGGATAATATCAAAGACAGACAACTGAGAACCAAGCAAGTAGATACATTTTTCATGTATGTTTCATTGCCATCATTGTCAGTTCATGGCTGCCTGCCCTTTAAAGGTTTTAACTGTAGTACCAGTAGTGATCTGATGAATGAATTTACCAAAGGATTGTAGACATTCTCTTTATTTAAAAATGGATGAAGGTCTACTGTTTTAGTTATTCTTAAATACGGTAAATCAGACATAAAGGAAATAAGAACTACTGATAGCATCGACTCGCAAATAAGCAGACGATGCATTTGGCTTTTAATTTAAAATTTGGCTTGGTAGTTGTGTATTATTGTATACCCAAGCATTATTACTTTTTTTGCTCATCAGGATATTTCGGATGCATTAATTTTATGGTGTGCTACTACATGGCCCCCACTATGTATTTTATAGATTGGTTTCTGATGAGGCTGCATTTCTAACAGTGTGGAAAAGAAAATAAATTGCCAAAGAGTTACGTTACTGTGAAGCAAAGAGGCAGTAATACTTGTTCCTGCTAAAAGAATCGGCTCTTTCCCAGTTCAGGGGTGGCGCCCCCTAGGGGGAAGGCTATCCCTCTCATGCCCATTCTCTTCTACATCTTTGGCTCTCCAGACGTTGCTTGCCTCGGATCCGTGACAGTAAGCACGTTAAAGTAGTTTGGCAGAAGGCTTGACACATGGCAAGTAAAATAAAGGCTGTTTGCAGCTTCGGTTCTCCACTTTTGCCACTGCTCATCGCTGTAGTGTCAGGCTTGAATCACCCATATTCAGCAGCTGGAAGTAACTGTTTTTCATGCCAGTGGCACCCAGAACAGTTCCTGTTGAAAATCATGGTACTGGTGACGTTTTAATGATCCACTTTTTGAACTGGCACTTTAGTTAAGGCAGCAGGGGGGTACATATCAGAAAATGCATATCTCGCTTATTACCTTTATTTACTGTTTAAGGAATTGTCCTTCACTGCAGTGCTATGCACTTTAATAAACTTGTCATTAGTTCTTGGGTTAAAATTATTTTGCTGAAATGGAAAGATCATTCCTGTAGTGAAAAAGCTTTACATTTCACTACACATTTCCCTTCACTTACACAGGGAAGGGTCAGACCTTCCATTAGTATTTTCCTCCAGGAATATTTCCAGTCTTGGTGGAGAGGGTTTTTTCTCAGTATCCACCGCAAAATCCATCTTCCTTACAAAAGCCTCCTTCTGATGCCGATCCTATTATGAAAAGGATAGGTTTTAGTTGTGGGAGTTCTGCAGAGGAGCACACGTAGTATGTTATGAGCTCAGTGTAGAGCTGCAGGAGTTCGTTCAGATTCCTGCAGATGCCAGTATTCCATTGAAGCAGCTTGGGAATACAAGGATCTAGAAGTTTGAATGTGTGGGAGTGGTTGTTTTTAAGGTTTTAAAGGTATTAAGTGCGTGCCAAATCGCACAGATGTCTTTTTTGTTGTTGTTGAAAAATAGATATATGCTCTTAGCAGGCAATGCAGATAGAAATTAAGAAATCTGTACCTGTCATTAATGCCGTACCATGCCATTCTAAACCTTTATTTCTTTAGCGTGAAATAAGTTAATACCAGATTTCATGGTTAGCACAAATGTTGATATTTCACAAGCTTGAGCTGTCAGATTCTTGCTTTTATTAACTATAGAAGTTCGGATGCCTGCACTGCAGCGTTTCTTTTAATCTGAATGAGAGGGTGAAGTGCACTCAATTTTCAAACACTTTCGCGCCGACTTGTCAGGTTTAACCTTGTTCCTTATTTTTTTAAGTTAAAGCAATCTCTTGTACAATGTTATCTCTACATAACAGAGGTAAACAAGGGTAGACCTAACTTTTCAGGTTTACCCCTGCCAGCCACAGGCACTTAGTTACCTCCAGAATCCTAATGCAGGGGGTATACATTTCTGCCATTCAGTTTTCTGCTTCCCTCTGTCAGGTCTGTCTGCAATAAAATGTACTGAAAATGGCATCAGGTGAAGGTGATAATTAAGACCATTTTGTTTCCCGCTAGAGTGATGGAATGAGATTTGAACAAAAAGGAGCAGGTGCTGCCCTCCCAAGTCGGTCTGTGAGGGGCTCTACTTATAGGGAGCCCCTCTTCTAATGTGTGATTCATGATGGTTTCCCAGGAGCCTGAAAGCACAAGGTGCCTCCTTCCTTCCTGGGCTTGCCTGTCTAATGAGCCTGCAGCTTTGCACTGGGGATATTACTATAGCCTTTATTATCATCTGCAGTTACTCCACTCACTCATTTGTATAGCTGGTGGGTAGCACAAAGTAATTGGGAAAAATCCTTCCATTGAAACTCATGGAACAAAGCTTGAAAATTGTTTCCAGTTATGTGACAATTATTGCTTTTGCTTCATGGGTGCAGTGTCTGTAGTTTTCATAAAGGAATTGTATTTCTTTACTAATGCATAAGATCACTCCTGTGTATGAATTTAAATAGCTGTTATGTCAGTTACAAGTATATCATCTCTAAATTGCAAACTGAAGGGAAGTGGGAAAAAGTCACCATAGCAAGGTACAGCTAAGACTGCACTATCTGGCATTATTAGATTCAAAACTCTTTTGTCACATTTTATCTCTTACTACCAGACGTTCAGACTTCTATGAAAAGAATTTATACCATTTGCTTTTGCCACAGATCAAATCTTTAAAAAAATAAAATCAACTTTAAGAACATTCACATAAAATTGCTGTTTTTTTTCCATTTTGAAATGGAAATATTTAACTCAGTTGCAAAAATCGAAAACTGCCTGTCTCTGGGTTTGAGTTCGGATCTTCTACCCACTAATTTAGAGACCCAAGAACAATAAAAAGGCAAACCTGATTCTTGTTTTCCTGTGCTCAGTACTTGAACTGGTGTCTGTTTGGTGAAGGCCTTTTAAAATGCTTTCTTCTGTAGGTTTTCATTGAGGCTGATTGAGCATTTGAGGTTATGGGCTAGACATTCTTAATGCAGCCTCTACTAGTAACTGTTAGCAGATGGGCACAGGTGACCTTTTCCCAAAATTGCTTTAGTCTCATCTGTGATGCCTCTTGAACTTTATACTTAAAGAAAATTGTTTGAGAATCACTGACAACTGGGTCATTCAGCATTTGCTGAAAGTAGACGAATGCTGCCTCTTTATTTCCTGAAGTATGACATTTCTTAGCCTTTCCAAACCATTTAGGAGTGCATAGCCCCTATAGCCATATGGTGAAGAGAGGTGGGAAAAATAAAAATATTTTATTTAACAAATGGACTGCAAAAAAAGTCCCATTCATCAATTTAAAGGCCTCGACATTAGCTTTTGCTGTTAGTGTCTAAATGTGAATGAATCTTTGACAGTTTTATGCAAAGTTTAGTGTAATAGTTTTCAGCTATTTCTCAGCATTTGTTTCTGCTTCTGGTGATACTACCTGCAGTTCGTAAAAAAACGCTGGAAATAAAATGCATTTGAGGGTTTAGGTGTTTTTTGAGTACTGAAATTTTTTTACCTAAAAAGCCATTCCTCTGTACAACTGAATGTTTTCTTTTGATTTTCAGTGCCCTGATTCCGCCTGCAAACAGGATCTGCTGGCCTACCTGCAGCGCATTGCCCTCTATTGCCACCAGTTGAACATCTGCAGTAAAGTGAAAGCAGAAGTGCAGAATCTGGGTGGAGAGCTGGTAGTGTCTGGGGTAAGGTGTTCGCTATTAACCATTTAGTGAAAATTCTTGCTTCTATTCCTCCTGTATTCCCAGATTTTCTATCTGCCTGAGTGACTGATTTAAAGATGGTTTTATTTTAACAATGTCACAGTGGTTAGCGTTAATGCCTCACAGCCCTGGCGCCATGGGTTCAATTCCAGACACAGGGTGCTATCTGCGTGGATTTTATATGCTGATAGGCTAATTATCTTCTAGGAAATTTGTGAGCTTGTGTGCATTTGTGTCTGTGTGTACCCTGCGATGGACTGTGGAATCCTTTGGAATTCTCTGGATTTCTGCATGAATGGCTTCTAAAATGTGACCTGATCTTTATCGGAGTCATAATGAATAGTCTTATTTAACAAACAACACACACAACATTTTACATTGCCATATCTTTATTGCACAAATGGTAATTAAGGTCAATTAAGGTAATTGATGAATAAAGCATGTGAACATCTTGAGAAGAGGGTAATTGGAGTCAGGTATTCCAATAAATGAGACAGGGATTCCAATCAATTCAGGTGTGGATTTGACCTGCCCTGCTGTATATAAAAAAATCACAATTTTGGTTACATGCTCATCACAGCTGAATTCTGTTGAAGTCCAATATGACCCGGTCAAAAGATTTCAGAGGACTTCAGAAGAAGAGTGAAGCTCATGGGACTGGAAAGGGTTAGAAAAGGATTTCTAGACTTCTAGACTAGGCCTCCATCAGTCCACAGTCAGCCAGATAGTTAACAAATGGAAGAAATTCAGCACCATTGCCACTCTCCCTAGGAGTGGGCGTCCTATAAAGATCATTGCAAGGGCACGGTGTACAATCCTCAAACAGGTGACAAAGAACCCTAGGGTGGTCTGATCAGCAGCTTCAGAAAGCATTTGGTTGAGGTTATTGGCAATAAAGGAGGTTCCACTAGTGACTAAATGTAAGGGTTCACATACTTTTTCCATCCTTGACCTTGATTGTTTAAACCATTTGTTCAATAAAGACATGGCAATGTAAAATGTGTGTGTTTTTATTAAAGAAGACTATTATTATGACTTAGATGAAGATCAGATCACTTTTTAGGAGTCATTCATGCAGGAATCCATATAATTCCTTGGATATCCTCTGGCTTCCCTTCGACCCTGAATTAGAGCGTTTGAGATGGATGGCAGCAGTATTTTTAATGCACTATACAAGCATAGCTGCTCCTTTTTTAATGGCAGTACACCCGGACACAGACGAGCATGTTGACAGGATACATTCTCCTAAGGCTGCATCCTTTTGAGCTTTGCCAAACAAAGGCATGAAATAACAAAGCTCTACTGGTATAAAACCTGAAAGGAAAGGGCTGTTTAGTGCGTCGTTCATATTGAACAAAATTTTCATATGTTTGATGTTTCAGCGGTTTGTAAATAGAAAAGAATTTCAAATTCACTGCTGCCTCAGAAGAGGCCAGAATCCCCAAGTATGTGCAATTATTAATTAGCTCACTGGCAACAGCTTCTCAGTGTAGATTCCTGGAGGAGGTCTGTTATTTGAAGGGAGAGCACTGATGGGGACGTCAGAGGGCTGACTGCTCTCCTAAGGGTGTTAAAATAGGAAGCTCTCCCAGTGAACACCTGGCGCAACAACTAATTTTAACTTCTTGAGGCTGCTTCTTGCTCTGCTGCCTGACAAGTGAAAGCTGAATCATCTCTTTAGAATGAAACAAATAGCTGTCTTGCCCAACGTTACTGTTAACTTGTTTCTGCTTAATGAGCATTACTGATCAGCTTTAGATTAGTTTACAATTTTCTCTCAGTATTAGTGTCAATTTTCTTGAATTTAGCACAACAAAAGGATTTAAACCTTGTGACAGGGAAATTATAGCATTTTATTTTTTAAATACATTTACATTTAGTATTTTTTATTAAACCCCATGCTTTGCAACTGCATGATTATAGCACTTATGTGGATTATCTACCCACACAATTGATTATAAATTCCTTTTTTAAAATGTAAATAAATCATGGATTCGCAGAATTGACCAGTCTTGAGAACAGTGGTCCCCACAATGAGATCATTTCAAATGGATCACCTTTCCATTTGAAACTGGGTTGTGACCTGCCATGCATAATGTTTTACGATAGATGGTTATTTCATCAATTGATTAAGACTAAAATTAATTTCATCAATTGAATTAACTTTGGCTTGCATAGCAGTTATATTTCGGAGAAGCATGCACTTCATTAATGAACAGTTTTCAAGTAGTATTTAATTTGCTGCACTTCTAATGCTTAGAATTTCCAATACTATGGGCTGTGTCATGTAGCATTAGGTTAAAGCAAAACTGTGCTACCTTGTAATATTTAGGTAGTAAGCTTTGTTAAATTCAGGGTTTTTATGTATAGATCTGGGGATCTTTGAGTTGAGCAGCACATGCAGTATTAGTCCTCAAGTATTGGAAGTGGCTTATGCTGAGAAGATTACCTTACCCAATTGTAATTTCCTGGGTAGAAGTAATGCCAAAAAGTGCAGTTGGAGACTTAACAAGTAGTGCTCATCTGCCTGTAAGTGCAGTTCGATCAAAAGGCACAAAATTTGCTTAAGAGAAGAAATTGCACTATCTTATAAAGTATCTCTTCGTTTTGGGGAAAAAAGTAACTGATATTTCATTTTTTTTAACAATCACTCCCTGTAAAAGGGTGGTGTTTTGACAGTTTTGTAGGCCTCATTGTAAATGATTTGACAATTTGTGACTTCTTGACGTGGCTAAAGTCTTATAGTTCACTCTTTTGTACTGGGTAAAACAGGGCTGTAAAAATAATTTAAGCCATTAGTTGTGTTCCTGTAGTGAAGAAAACATCCTACAGGAAGATAATGCAAGCTCACTGTTGGAGGCAGAAGCCAGTGGAAACTTCAGCATGAGTCACTGAGCATTTTATTAACTCTGCTAAATGAATTCTTGGGTTATGGTATTGGCATCCAAACCTTACTCCTGAGTTATACAAAATTACATATACTTAAGCAAACTTTTTTTTATGTGAAAAATGAATGATGAAGATAATTTAGTGGAATCAAACTTTTTTATATCAAACTCTTCAAGAACTTGAATGTTTGAAAAAATAAATGCTTAGATATCCAAAAGCTAATTTGGAAAACAAGGAAGAAACTTATTTGAAATGAGGGTATAATAAACATGCCACAATGATTGACAGGTAGAGAGGCATATTTCATGTCTTATGTCATTGAGTAGAAAATGTTTGTAGCAAAGAGTAAGATGGCTTCCTTGCAGCAAAGAAAACTGGAAATACTATTAGAAAATAAACTACAGTGCAGCTCTGCAGAAACATAATTACCTGTCGCAGAACAAGCTGAATGTTTAATCACTTTAGACTTCAACATCCGTCTGTTACTTTGCAAGAAGTGGTACACGCGAAAAAGGCAAACAAGTGTTGTCTCTGCACTGCGGAGCTCTTCTGCTCTTGCTGATAACTTAATTCAAAAAATGGCGTGTTTATATTTATGGTTCGCAAGTGCAAACCACTGAAAGGGGCATTTTATATCTTCTAGAGTGAATGTGATCAGGTATTTCTTTATCTTGTTAAAGAAATCTAAAGTTTTATAGCATCATAATTAAGGTTAAATTCGTTTTAAATGCTACTTCAAGGTTTGTCTGCATTGGTTTCATTTCATGTTTGTACTGCTCATAAGTCTTGTCTTTTGTGTTAGATGCATTGCTGCCAATGATAAGACCAGTTATTCTCAATGAAAGTCAAATATTCAAATGTTTGTAATTTTAATAAAAACTTCACTGACTTCCCATCCCTGCTCACTAGAAGAGCGTGCAAGTATACAAGTGCATTTTAAGCTTCCTTTCATGTGTTAATTAAATTATTTATAGCAGATATTGGTTACACTTAAGATTGAGTACTTAACGACAGGTTGTTTCTAATTGAGACATTGGGTTATATAGGCAGATACATTTTGAAATTAAGTTTAATCTTTTAAGTATCTGAAGCTTTCTCTAGGAGTTTTTTAACTCCTCCTTTGTAACAGCATTATTCTCTAATTATCAGGTGGACAGTGCCATGTCTCTGATCCAAGCAGCAAAGAACCTGATGAACACTGTGGTTTCAACGGTGAAGGCTTCTTATGTGGCTTCCACCAAGTACCAGAAGTCCCAGGGCATGCAGTCTCTGAACCTGCCGGCCATCTCCTGGAAGATGAAGGCACCCGAGAAGAAGCCTCTGGTGAAGCGCGAGAAGCAGGACGATGGGCAGACCAACAAGGTCAAGAGATCTTCGCAAAAGAAGCATATCAACCCTGTCCAGGCCCTCAGCGAGTTTAAGGCCATGGATAGCATTTAACCTCTTAGGATCTATATTTTGGCTATCAGCGGTGAGAACAAGCGGAAATGAGCATTACTGTTTAAATTTAGAACTGGGCTTGAAGTCTGTAGGGACGCATTCTGAAAACATCCTTGTTGTTTTTGTTGCTGATGATCGTCACCATAAGCCTCACTGATTTTTGTCCAGATAAAGGGAAAAATATCAGTTCCTGACTCTCCTGCCTATATCTGAACAATCTCTGTCTAAAAGCAATAAGGTTTATAGTTCAATTTAAATTTCCATCTAGAAGTGCATAAAGTGACTCTGGAAATGCAGTTGTAAAACAGTAGCTACTGTAGGATGTCTTGAATAGGCTTTTCTGGATTTAATGTCAAACATTTTTGCTTTCAGTTAATTAAAAATGCTTTAATCACTGTGACCCTCGACCTGTCACAGCTTGCTCCAGTTTTCAAACTTTTATCATTAACCTTTTGAATTCTAATTTCTGTTGGGTCCATATGTTCGTTAACTAGGTAAACAATCTTTTGTATTCTGTAATTAGCTATATTCTGATCCTTTAGATTATATACCTAAACAAACTCTACTGTTTGCCTTCTTTATCTATACAGATTCCAGTAGATTTAATACAAAGGGTGTTACTATTTGCTAAATGCAGAAAAGTTTTAAATTTGGTTTAAGAGTTGGAACCAAAGACCAATTCCTTACTTTCGGTTTAGTACAAATTATATCACTGCTGAATTTATTCTTGACATGGATACTGTATTAATAGATCAAAAAGTTTTAATTGTATTCATAAGGGTTACCATAAAGATTTTAAATCATTTTAATAGGAAATCTATATTTTACACTTTTGATATTTGATATCTATTAAACGCTTCAGATTATCTTCATACCAGTTAATTACCAACTTAAAGCCGACATGATTTTCAGTGATTTCAGCAATCCTTAGACTTTATATATTTGTCCAGACCAACCAATGCAATACTAATTATTTGATTATATAATGCTTTAATTATTTTTTTTCTTTGTAGAATATGGAACGTTTGCAGATAATACTCCGTGTTTTTTCTGCATAAAGAGTTTTCGTGGCCTTGTTTAGAAATGACTTTTTTTAAATGAAAATGAGATGCAGGCTTTAGTTCATGAAAGAAAGCTGTTGACATTTGCAAGCCCAGAGCAAAGGAGATTGATGCAGGTTTCTCATGTTGCATTCCGATATTCTGTATGTTTAAAAATTGGCTACCTGCATACGTCTCAAATGAAATTAACCAGTTAACATTTAAGAGCGGTTGCTTACTTTTCCATTAAACATGCCGCTATTTAAAACGTGCAGCGTTTTTATAATTTGGTTACCTTCATCTTGGGATAACTTGATGCGCACTGTCAGAAATGTGTTGGCTGTTTATCTGCTAAAAAGGTTAAACAGTGCATAAATAGCAAAGGGGGGATTTTATCAGTTTATACAGTGCTAATGAGATTCTCTACCTTAAAATGTTTAGATAAAATGTGCTATGTTTTACATTTTAAAAAAACTTCCCTCTTACAAATGACAATCTTATAGAGGTTTAGAAATGTATGCTTTGCTGTGACCATTTTTTACAGAACCCGGAATGCATTTTGACTTATTGCTGTGCAGTGTATCACTTCTGTATCCATTTCCATATATATAAAGAATAAAGTTTCTTTTCTAATGTAGTAATTATTTTGATTTGTACAGACGTTTTTATTCTATTTTCTAAGGTATTTCTGAACAGTCCCTTAAGATTTCAGACATCTTGTCTGACTTCCACAATTTTGTAACAAATCTAGTTTGTCTTTACTTTTAGCAAAGTTTTTCAGATGTACTGTTTACCAAAAGATTCCAGTACACTCTAGGCAAAGGTAAAGATTCAACTTGGGTATGTTATGTGCTTTAATTTGGAGTATTTTAAGTTCTAATAAATACTGCTTGCAAACCAGAAGAAGATCCATAGAATGTTGTGGGAAGGATCCAAGCACTTTCTCAATCTTGAATTTCTGCCTCTCAAAGCATAAGCCTGGAAAAGCTCCCCCTACAACATGTGTGGTATTTGACCAGATATCTCGTGAGAAAACACCTGCTTAACCTGGTAATCTGTGGATTCCATCTTTTCCTTGTCATGCATTTTCAGGTATATGGAAGACAATCTTCATTACCTTGTCTGTGAGGCATAGCCTATGCGTGATTTACTCTTCAGTAGGTTGATGGTTATTTTTTTTAATTATAAATTTATATTAAGTTATTTATGGTGTTCTATTTAGCTAAGGTGGGGGAGTAATTCAGTCTTCCCAGAAATACTGCAAGGTGTGTATTCATAACCGTTATCTATTTTTGGAAAAGCTTTTTTTCAAGTTTATACCTGTACACATGCAATTTTGTCTACAAATGGGCTTGCTTTTGGGCCCATTTGTACAGCAGGGCATTGTATCTGTTATACCTTTAAATGGGGTACTTTACTCAAATTGCTTCAGTGCAAAGTGCCCTACCTGTGATTTGATCCCATAACTTTTCCGTTAGGAGTGCAGAGCCTCTGCCAGCTGCTGCTTTTACAGTCCCAATTCAAAGTGGCAGATCCATCATGGGCATGCTCTTAGGTGTTCTTATCCTTTGATGAACTGGCATTACATCTTATCAGATTCTGTAAGCACACAGATATGTGAAACAGGATGACCTATGGAATTTGACCCTATTTGGAGTGACTGCCAAAATCTAGAAGCCAATAAATAGTTTTTTCTGACATGATCAAAAGTGTTCCCATAAAGCTCTAGGATTCTCATATTGCTTTCTATGGCTTGGTCTGCGAGAGGAAAAGTTTTTTGTAGTTGCGTTTTTAAGCATGCATGTGATTGTTCCTGCCACACACACCTGTATTGATGAAGGTCTCCTGAATAGTGCTGCACTTTGAAGAAAAAAATTGTGTAACCGTGCAAAATTGTGTGATGGATGCTAAACTTTTATCGACAATGTATCCCCTGCTTTGCCGACAGTTCTATTTCCTGTAAGCCATTTCTCAATGGGGAACCTAGGACTACTCCAGGAAGAAGTAAGCATCCACAAAGAAATATTTTATCTAGGATGTTTCCTTGCGTATCAGCAAGGCTTAAAACGGTGTTCTGTTGGTAAGGCATCACCTGAGGCTCTGTGGGAAAGGTGAGAAATCTGTTAAGGAATAGTACATGGTGTTTAGAGTGTCGGATTTATAGAGATCTGATACATCAACCATGATATGTTCCCTCAGGAAACTACGTGCTTTAGTACATACTGTAGGTTGATTAGGGATGTGATATTGAGCCATCGGTCGTTTCTCTCTTTAGCTTCAGTTTTTTTTTTGACTCCACATAGCCTCTCTTGGAAAGATTGCATGAATGGTGCTGACTGCTGATGCCCAAAGCAAGGCCTACTACTGTGCCATGTCATCAGATCATTCAAGCACCTGCTGGAGCTCTTCCAGGCTTCGTGCTGCACAGCCATTGCATTCGGGTTCACCAGCAAATTTTTCCAATTGAATTTTCAGAATTTTACAGAATTTTGAATGCATCTTTATTTCTTTCTCCAGTAAGTCCCATCAGTTTTTCAATAACCCCAGTTCTTGTTGGACATTAATCATTTTGACTTGTATAAATAGGTTTATATACCTTGTGTAAAATGTAAGATATATTCTGCATTTATATTTACCGTGTTACAGAATAATTAGCATTTTCTTCGTAGCTGCACTTCAAGGCCCATGTAATTCTGTGTGAAAAGATGGTATATCCATAGCCATTAACTTCCATCTTCCAAATATGCAAGTTAACTTGTCAGACAGACTCTTTGCAGTTGGCAGTATCTTTAATATTGTTACCATGTTAGCTCCCTGCCTCAATGGTTGGTATTAATTTTAACATTAAGGAAGAGACATCCTCCCTCACTTTGATGTGGCCAGGTTAACGAAATTGTGACCTTACCTGGTCCCTCCTGAGCTGGCATGACAACTGGTTCCCTCCTGAAGAACAGTCAGTGTGCCTGTGTGCGCAGTGAACAGGAACAAAGCATTATCCCTGCTGCCAGGTAACACTGTTGAGTTCTTGAAACTGCTCCAGCAAAGTAAGCCTGCACAAGAGGGAATTCCTAATTTTCACACTAGCATTCAGGGACTTCTTGCTGTTGCAAAGCTCCTGTTTTTAATATTTGGCTCAAGGAAAGATAAGTTGCCTAAGCAAGTTCTTTTCAAGTTTAAAGACATGGTGTTTCAGAGTAAATGTGCAGTTAATTATGTGTTCAAACAGATGCATTCTGGCCCCTTTTATACAAGGTGATAAAACATTTATACACTTCTGGGGGCTGAGTAACATTGAAATGGCTGGATGAGGGCAGTTCTTGTTTGATAAGGAATGGTAATATTTATTTTTGTTATTGTTTCAGAAAATGTAAAAATGAATTCACTAGAAAGTCAAGAGATGTTTATGCACTTGAAAGCAAAGTGATCATGCCTAATTAGCAGATTCTTGGTATGTGGTTCCTATGGCAAAAGTTGGCCATCAGATGACTGAGGACTTTTTTTCCTAGAGTTCAGAGAAGATGGTGCAAGTTGGACAAAGTTTTGTTGATGCCCCTACTATTATCTATCAATTCTTTGAGTCCCTAATTTTACATGGTAGTGCAGTTAAAACCAAAACTGTACTTTACTCAAAGGGCTGTGTGAGTATGGAACAAGCTACTGAAACTCTGGCTTCTCCAAATATATGAATGAGATCTTTGGATCCTTTAACTGCTACAGTACCTACCAAAATACTAGCTACCAAATACCCTTATTGATGGTAGATGGTAGGTGGTAGTTAATTGCAATCTATTCTCGTTTGTAAAATGTCTTGTTCTAATTGTATGGCGGATCCTAGTAAAGGGTGGTTTGCCAGAAAACGGGGTAGGTTTTTAAGTTGGCCCTCTCATTCTCATGTTTTAAATCAGAGAAAATATCCGACTACATGTTCTAGCTGCGAAGTTAGCATAAATGTTCTTCAAGGGAGAATTACTGTATATGCTAAATAAGGGAAGGAATAAAGTACCACCACCAGTTTCATATAAAACAGCGAGTCAAGCAGAATAACTATAACATTAAATCATGTTTCTGTGTTGCAAGAAAAAAATAAAAACCAGATGGGAGCTGGTTCTCTTAAAAAAAAAACTTTTGAAATTGTGAATATTCCACTAAATGAAATAATGCCTTATTATGAGCATTAATTAATTCATGTGTAATGAATTGTCAACCTGAATTAATGTTGGATGCATACAGTGAAAAAAGCTCCAGGCCTTGCCTAACACATGAGTCTCTTTTCAAAAAGCTCTTAACTTCTTTCCCTGACAATTTTCTGTGATGTACTATAGGAAACATAAAACAGTCTCAGTGGTCTTTTTAATTGAATATCCTGTTTAATTTGTAGGCATGGAGATCATTTAAATAAAGTATCTTCCTCTTTATTCTCAGATTGTTTCAGGTTATCTGTGACTGCTATTACTGCTGACTGTAAAACATGGGAGTCTCAGAATAACAAAGAAGCTAACTCTACTTGCATCTGTCTGTGGTTCTTTATCACAGCACCTACTTAATTACCTCTAATGTCTGACAGCATTCTTAAAGTGCACTTCAATTTTGGGTTGTTGTACTCAGTTTGTAGATCTTAAGTTTTAAGTTTGAGTGCTGATGAAATCTGCTAGTTTTCAGTTTGATCAGTTTCCCCACAATGACTTCCTGAAAAGATATTTTAAATATTTGCACGAGTTCTGCATCTTGGTTCATTCAGGTCACCAGGTTATATCACTTATTTATATGCCTTCCTTATCTGTTAGGTTTGGAGTAGATCAGCTGCATAAAAACTTATTTACTATTAACTTCCAGTGTTTGAGTGTAATGGAATATATTAGAATGGTAAAAAGGAATGTAAAATGAATGGGTTCATTTATTACATTTGCCTGTTTTCCAAAAGATTTGTAAAGTGTTATAAGATGAATTCTTATTAACAAAGTAAAATATTCAATAGAAACTTGTTTGACATCCAACTGCTGTGCGGTCCTTACAAATGTTTTTTTTTGTGATCATGTTAAGAAATAGAATTTCTGTACCTCTCCTCCAAAACCTTAGGAAAATAAACAGACCTTAGTGCCATTGTCTAATAATCTCATGAGACCTGCCCTGTTTCAAACTGCTGAATTTATCAGTGCGAACATACAGGGGCTCTGTTTTCATCTTAGAAAACATTTAGTGGTACTAGAGTAAACACAATAAAGAAGTACTGCAAGACCCAGCATAAACACTGTTGGTGCAGCTGATTTCAAAAGAGCCTATCTACAGTAAATTAAAATCTGCATAGAATTTCTTTACTACTATCCATCTGTTTTAAACTGGTGGTGTGTAAATATTGTCCCTAATTTAAAATAATGTAATAAACATTCAACCGATATGAGGAAAAATAGGCCAATCATTTGCCATTGCATTAATTTTACAAATATAATTATATTCCTAAGAGAGTCAGTAAAAACAGACACTGTTTCAATATGCTATAAATACCAAATTATAAATTTTCCTTATTCATAATATTAAATAGATCATTTAAGATCATATGTACATTAATATTTAATCAGGGAGATATGTTGGTTAGCATTGCTAGCCTTATCCAGGGTACAATCATCGTGTGGAGTTCACATGCTCT